CTGCTTTCCGAGTCCACTGGTGGAATCTTCTAACCGGTTCGGTAGATCTGACGAACCGGTTCTACTGAACTGGTGCGAACTGGCAGGAACCCACCTCTGCATGCCGGCCACATGACCAGGGAGATGTCTTCAGACAGCACTGGTTCTTTGGCTTTGAAACGGAGATGCGCACCGTCCCCTAGAGTCGGGAACGACTAGCACATATGTGTGAGGAGAATGCGCACCGTCCCCTAGAGTCGGGAACGACTAGCACATATGTGTGAGGAGAACCTTTTACCTTTAATTTGTCCAATCTCGGTCTAGCTCTTCTTCATTTGAAATGCTTCTCTGTCGCAGATATTTCACTCTATATGACTTATTGTCATTTCTCCCGATTTTACCTGAATCACAAATGACATTTTATCCATTTCTTCCTGCATTCAAACTAATAAAATCAGAGCTGCTACTTTTTAATGGCAAGACTGCAAATGGGATTATAAATCAACTAAATTATCATAGGACATGTTAATAGAGGTATTTCCTTTCCCAATGAATTAATTGCCGCTCTTTCGGTACTTGCTGAAACCCAATGCAATTTACTTGTTTGCTTGTTTTCATTTATGTACCACTGGAATCCAATGATTCCCAGTGGCTTACACACATAAAAAGGATGAAACACTCAAAGCCAAACCATCTGAAAGCATAAGTGCAGCCTGTTAATTGTTGTTCACCAGAGAAGACCATCAGCTTTATACTGTAGGTGTATTTTTGAAAGATGAAGCTGCATTTCACTGGGAACATTTACTATCCATATTTGACTTGAATGTGTGACTTGATCCTGAGCCTGCGAACTAATCACCATCCTTTCTTAGAAAACTTCTGAACCTGACTCCCCAAAATACTATAGATTTCCAGTTATAGTGTGATTCTTATCTGAACTGTTGGGCTTTGTTTTATCAGGTTGACGTTGAAGTATATCGCAGAGATTCCAAGAAGCTTCCAGGTTTGGGTGATCCTGACATTGATTGGGAGGAGTGCGTCTACCTGAACCTTATACTACAGAAGGTGATCTCAGACTTTCTCTTCTCCAAAGCTTGCTGGCGCTAGAAGAGGGGAATGTCTGCAATTCGCGGGGTATTTTGAGAATGAGTATGGTACCTTGGCTTGAATCTGCACCATCTACCAATCACATGGTCATTTTGAGACTTCCTATCTATTTAAACCTGTAGTAAGATTATTTGAAGGGGTTCCACCACAAATGCGCGCACAACAAAAGCGCGCCTGACTAAACCGCGGTGTCTAAAGTGCGGTGACAGAACCGCGCGACGAATTAGCGACTAATTAGCCCTAAAGCGCGCCGACAGAAGTGCGCCGACAGAAGCGCGCCGACAGAAGCACGCTGTAACGTAACCCTCAACCTAACCCTAAACCTAACCCTAAACCTAAC